GATATCAAAAAGCAGGCGAATATGACATCGTATGCGTTCATTCAGTTCTCGGACATCACATCAGTGGTGAAAGCGATGCGCAAACTGGACGGCGAGAATCTGGGCCAGAATCGGATCAAACTCGGGTTCGGCAAAAGTATGCCCACGACTTGCGTATGGATTCACGGCGTGTCCGAGCAGTTGACTGAGAAGTCGCTGCTCTGGCAGGCGAACCGTTTCGGCACAGTTGTCAACCTCATGCTAGACCGGCATCGGGCCAACGCTCTCATCTTCTACGACAGTGTCGAATGCGCCCAAATCGCCGTTCAAGACCTCAAAGGCCGAGTGCTGAGCGGCCGCAAAATGCAAGTGGACTTCGCCTCCCGGGAGTGCCAAACGGCCTTCTTTGATAACATGGAAATGTCGGGTCAAATACCGCCTCAAGTGGTGGGCTCTGTGAGCGGTGGCGGCGATCGCCAGTGGGAACCCCAGCGGAGGCCACCGCTCGGCAACAGTTCCACCAATCAGTGGTCTGAGTTCGACGAACGCCTGGGCGGCGGCGCGTACGACAACCACACGGGCGGCGGCAACAGTCGCGCCCATAACAACCGATATCAGTCACGCACACCAAACCGTAACTATCGGCCGCAGTCGCCCATCCCTTTCCAAAGGAACACACAAACGGGTTACGGAGGCGGTAGTCGCGGCCGCGCCTCCTATCAGAGGTTCGGCTCGGCGTCCGACACTTACAACGAGGACTTTGCGGTCGATCGGCGGCATCGATACGAAGCCGACGCCGAGTACGACGATATGGACGACGAGAGGGACAGCTGTTACGGTCGCGACCGGAGTCGCGAGTTGAGTGAGACGTGCAGTAAATCCTATTCCCCGATCTCTCGGCGCAGTGAGAGTCCCAAAGAGGGCGTCGGCGGCCGACGCGACGGTCGCAGCACAAGTCCGTACTCTAAAAGTGATATGAGAGACAATAGTAGAGACAAATCGGACGCAGACGTTATGCTCGGCCAAAACATGGCGAAGGAGCGGAGTGGCAGTCGGAGGTCGAGCGACGACCTGCACGACGACTGGAAGCCACCGGAACTGCAACTCGACCGGCGACGCGCCGGCAAACAGCACAAGTCCTCCTGTGATACAGCTCTTATGTTCGGCGACTCACCGCCACCGGTCACCCAACACGTGGCCCGGCGTCTGAGTCACAGCAAGAGTCCGAAAGACAAACAACAACAGCAGTCGTCGGCGACGGCCGCAGCTCTGGCCAGTCTGAAGGGCCAGAACACGAACACAACGCCCCAAAGTCCCACCGCTAGTCCCTGTTCGTCGAGTTTCGCGTCGCCGATGCGGACCGACTGTCCAGTGCACCGGCTGCAACTGCCGTTCCTTATGCTCGACTCGACGCCGAGCAGCTTGCACACCGCGGCCTTTAGCCACCTGCTCTGGCCGAGAGTCGACTACCTGTACCTGAGTGACGGCAGGCGTGTAGTCAGGCAACGCTCCGATTCTGTACTTTCCGACTCCAGTGATACGGGTTTTGTCGGTCGGGGTGTCGGCGGCGAGTCTACTGTGTCTGCGTTGAAACGTAAACGACTGGACAGCGAGTCGCCCGACACACCGACGTGTAGTTCCGAAGCGATCGGACACTTGGAGCGCAAGAAGCGGCTACTGGTCTGCGTCGACGGCCTCACGGGCGCCGGCGGTGGTCATAGCGAACGGCTCGGGTCGGGCAGCAATAGTTCACAGTCGACGAGCGGGTCGTTGGCCGGTAAGAGCGGTTCCCACGAGTCGCTGGTAAATAGCGAGACAAACATCAGACAATTGGCCAAATTGCTCAAACGTAGGCCCAGTAGTAGTGGCGGCGCCACCAGTGATATCAAATCAA